TGATAAAAAACTTAATGAATTAACAGTTTTGATAAAGGAAATGAGTACTAGCAAGAAGATAACCGATATTGCCTCTACTTCAGGAAGCAAATCAGAAGCTCAAATTATTCTTACTCATGTTCAAAGACCCCCTGAGATTCAGAATTTTAAATTCAAATCGTTAAATGATTTAAAAGAACTTCTTGATAAAAAGTTATCTGGTTTAAATATTAAACCTATTGATTTATCAAAAAAAAATTGCTGATAAATTAGATACTACTTCTGATTATAAAGATGAAGTCTGGTCAGAGTTTAATAAACTCAGAGGTTATCCCAAAAAGAATAGTAAGTATGTTGATAAACCCATAATGCAAACTTATTATCATAATCGCCATACTCCTCAAGATGTGTTAATAGAAGAACGAGATTGGAATCAGACTAATACGTCTTATAGTGGTTCCGAAATTTATGAATGGAATCTTGATGGTTTAACTGATAGACAATTGACTCTCCTTTTGCATAGAATGTTTATGTATGCAACTATCTGTAAAAGTGTAAAAATTACAGATAGAACTATTTGCAAAATGATTATTGCAAGTTTTACTGGCCAGCTTCGTGGCTGGTGGGATAATTATTTAAGTACTGAAGAAAAGGCGATGGTTATTAATGCAATAGCCACTGACGAAGGAGTCGATAACTTAGGCATGGCTCTAGTGAAAAATAGAGAAGATGCTGTTTACACCCTTGTTCTTACCATATTAGAACATTTCAATTGTAGATTTACCAATCAGAACGAGACTGTCCGTACTCTGCTAAATGGCCTTAGATGTAGGACCTTAAGCGAGTTTAGATGGTATAAGGATACTTTTATGAGTAGAGTAATGGAATTACTCGAAAATAAGTATGAACATTGGAAAGCTAAGTTTATAGATGGCCTTCCCTCCTTATTTGCTGAAAGAGTAAGAAAAACTCTAAGGGGTAGTTACGGGAAAATTCCGTAAAAAGATTATACCTATGAAAAATTGATAGGAGTATGCACACAAGAAGGATTAAACTTGTGTAATGAGTTAAAATTGTCCAGACAACTTAAGATAGATAAGCTTAAGGAAAAATCACAATTAGGAGACTTTTGCACCCAGTTCGGTTTACCCAAAACTTCTGCTCATAGAGAGAAAAAGAAAAATAGGTATCATAACCCAGACAATCCTTATAAGAAAAAGAGATCAAGATATAGATCCAAAGAAGAGCGTGATGCTAGGAAAGCTCATCGCAAGTCTACTAGATTTACGAAAAATAGGTCTAAGCGAGATCTTGCTGATATTAAGTGTTATAAATGTGGAAAATTTGGCCATATAGCTCCAAATTGTAAGTTTTAAAAGCTGAAAACCTTAGAACTAGACGATGAGTTACGTGATAAGGTTTATGGTTTGTTATACACTTCTGGATTAGAATCTGTTTATAATTCTGAGTCAGAATATGAAGCTGTCACGACCCAAACTAACCTCTGTCGTGATGGCGCCTATCGTGGAACTAGGCAAGCCGACTCATTTCCAAAACAAACTGATATTTTCATTTCAAAGATAATTTCAAGGTTATTTAACATAAAACCTTCATTTAAAGAGTTCAAATCAAAGAAAAATAGAAGTACGAAAAAGAAAAGCCCGACATTGGGGCGTCACTAGTCATGAGCAGATACTACAATCTGTCAAACAATATCAAGGCTAACTCAGCCCGAAAAATAGCTAAATACAACTAGAGGAAGATAAGAAGGAGAAGAGTAGGGGTTGCGATCGCCAAACAGCTACCTTGCTATCTCCAAGAAAATCTACAACCAGAATACTCAATAACTACTACCGTGTCCAGCTACACCTGAATCTGCACACAAGGTGCAAGGAGTAACGTGAGTACGCCAACTCAGTAAGTAACAACAATAAATAAAGACTGAGCAGTAATGACGAGCAATAAAGCATATAACATTCATATCATGAAATCTCAGAAAAGTACAACATGCTTTAAAAATCGGTGTTTGAATCAAATTATCTCGTTTAAACCTGGTTCTAGTAAAAATCATTTAAAGATATTTTTCCAACAGTTTTTCAAACAAAGGCTCAATGCAAAGGTGAGAAAAAAATGATGAAATCATAAACAGCCCCTCGGGCAAAACATCACTCATATACAGCCCCTCGGGCAAACCTCACAGTCACTCGTACCACTCGGGCATACCTCACAATCACTCTTGCCACTCGGGCATACCTCACAATCGCCCATGCCTCCCAGTCACTCAGCACTCGGCACTCGGCACTCACACTCAATAGGTACCTGCGCTCACTGGGGGTGTGTACAGACTCCGGAGGGGATCCTTCAGCCCAAACGCTATAATCTGCACGGACAACTCACGTGCTATAATAATAAAGTATGCTGCAGGCGAGAAGCCCCGATCCACACTCATCCTCACAAATCAGGCCTTCGGCCTCACTCAGTCATAAATATGCTGCAGGCGGACAACCCCGATCCACACTCATCCTCACAAATCAGGCCCTCGACCTTACTCAGTCATAAACCTCTCAAGCCACTCGGGCATTTCAGTAAAACAGGGCATTCGGCCCAAAATATTTATATGCATCAAAATAGAGTCATAAAACTGAGTTATGCGGTAAACAAGTATAAACATGACTGAGTATAGATTTTCAATCAAAAGCAGTGAGAAGATGGTAAGAAAAATCCCCTAAGGGTCCAAATAGCATTGGCGCAAGGCCCAAACATGACATTCAGCCCAATTTACAGAAATTCTTTCTAAAACATATAAGTGTCAAATGGTTTCAACAAAGTATGCAACTTTACAGTTGCTACGGGATGGACCAAGTCACAATTCCCCAACAGTGCACGCCCACACGCCCGTCATCTAGCATGTGCGTCACTTCAAAATAGTAGAATGATACGAAATCTGGGGTTTCATACCCTCAGGACCAGATTTACAATCGTTACTTATCTCAAGCCGTGAAATTCTTATTCTGCAATGTCCTTTCCTCGTGAATTGGTCTACAAACGCCTCGAATCTGGTCATAAATAATTCATTTCAGTCAATAAAATTCATTGGAATTAATCTCATAAGAAAATAATGATTTTCCATAAAAATTCGAAAATTAGCTCAAAATCGCCTGTGGGGCCCACGTCTCGGAACCTAACAAAAGTTACAAAATCCGAAAGCCCATTCAACCACGAGTCTACCCATACCAATTTTACCAAAATCCGACCTCAACTCGACCCTCAAATATACAAATCTTATTTCCAAATTTCTAAGTTCCAATCTCCGATTTACACCTTAAAATCATGTAATCTAGTCGGATTATTCGATGATAATTCAATATTATGGAGTAGAAATGACCACAAGGGACTTACCTCAAATTTTCCTTGAAAATATATCAAAAATCGCCTCTCCTCAAGCTCCGATTTGTCAAAAATGGCAAATGGGACGAAGTCCGTATTTTTATAATTCTGCCCAAACAACCTCTGTTCTGCCTCAATCTTGGCCTTCGATCTTGGCCTTCAATCGAGGTCCTCGATCCTGGTTCTCGATCCTAGGCCTTCGATCATGTCTTCGACCCGGCCTTCGACCGTGACCCTCGACCCAGGGCTCGATCATGGCTTCGATCGTGGCCCTCGACCCTGGGCTCGATCATGGCTTCGATCGTGGCCCTCGACCCTGGGCTCGATCTGGGCTCGATTTCTGAGAGATTTCTGGGCTAGAATCTGGCAGAAGAAATTTCCAACAGAAGGAAATTGCAGCAGCTGTTCTAGTTCAATTTTTG